CCGGCACGCGTGGGCCATGAGGGTGTTGGGGTTCATGAGGGTGACGAGCGGGTGCAGCGCAGGGGGCGGGGCCGGGGCAGCGCAGGGGGCGGGGCACTCACCGGCACGCCGTGGGCCATGAGGGTGTTGGGGTTCATGAGGGTGACGAGCTGGTGCAACAGGTCCGGCTGGCTCTCGAACAGCTCCGGGGTGAGCTTCTTCATCACGTCCTCCAGGTGCTCGGCCGCAAACGACGGCACCCCATACCACGTCTTGGGCTCGCCCCTGGGGAGAGCACGGGGTAAGGGGGGCAGCCGCCAACCCCACATCCCACCTCATACCACGTCTTGGGTTCGCCCCTGGGGACAGTGCCCCGGGGTCAGGGGGGAGCCGCCAACCCTCAAGTGACCCCCAATTCTGCTCCCCCATTCTCCACCCCCCGCCCCAGCCAAGGGCCCACCAGTGGAGGTAGTTGATGGAGTAGCTCCAGTGGTCCTCGATGTGCCAGCAGAAGGCGGAGAAGACCATGCCCACGTAGAGCCAGGGCACCTTCATGCCCGAGATGTCGGCATTGATGTGGCACAGAACCGACTGCTGCAGGACCGGCATCACGTTCAGGTTCCAGCCGCTGGCCGCGTACTCCTGCCGGGAGAGGGGGAATCAGAGCTCCCCACTGCCACTAGGGGGCCTGTCCCTCTAGGGGGCGCCGGCTGGCTCAGGGGGCAGGAAATGGGAGACAGGGCGTGTCCCCTCTAGGGGGCGCCGGCTGGCTGAGGGGGTGGGGAACGGGGCATGGCGTCTGTCCCCTCTAGGGAGCGTTGGCTCCCATCTGGCCCCAGGGCAGTTCAGGGGGGGCAGGGAATGGGGTACAGGCCCCTCTAGGGGGCGTCAGCTGGCTGAGGGGGTCAGGGAATGGGGCAGGGCCTGCAGGGCTCTGAGGGTGGGAAAGGCGGGTAAGGGGCTGGCTGGGGGTCCCCACCTCCTCCTCGGGGCACAGCCTCCGCTTGCTGTCGCTGATGGGGAAGCCGCTGCCGAACTCCTTGGAGTGGATGTCGGCGCCGTACTCCACCGTCACGTCCTCCTCAATGCTGTTCACCAGGCGCCAGAACTCCTTTTCCACCAGCTCCGTGGGCACCATCTGCCGGGGGGGCAAGGGTGGGCACGGGCACAGAGCCACAGCCCGGAGCCGGGCATCCGGGCTCCCAGCCCCCCGCCCTGACCACTTCGCCCCACTCCCCTCCCAGTCCTGGCTCCCAGTCCCCCCCTGCTCTAACCACTGTGCCCCACTCCCCTCCCAGAGCTGGGAGAGAACCCAGGAGTCCTGGCTCCCAGCCCCCCCTGCTCTAACCACCAGTCCCCACTCCCCTCCCAGAGCCAGCAGAGAACCCTGGCGTCCGGGCGCCCATGGGGGCACTCACGTGGACGGGCATGTTGAAGTAGTCAGCCTTGAAGGCGTCGGCCATCTCCCCAAAGCTCTGCAGCGTGTACTCCCGCGTGGCCTGCTCGAAGCCGAACGCCTCCGGGGGGCGCTTGCACTCCTGCTGGGGGGAGGGGAGTGTCAGGGCCGGGGGGCAGGGACCCCCACGGAGACTCACAGGGCCAGGGGCCTGCAGCTGGGGAAGCCAGGCCATCCCCCCGACCCCCTCAGCCCCAGGGGCCCAGCCAGCCCGGTTCCGCCCACCCCCCTCCCCCGATCAGCCCCAGGAGCCCAGCCCGCCCCCGCTCACCGCCATGACGCATTTGGGGCAGCGCCAGACTCCCTTGGGGATCTCGGGCAGGGGGGGCAGCAGGCAGAAGATGTGGTAGTTGTCGTCACAGCCGTCACACAGCAGCAGCTTGTCGTCCTCGTCCCCGCGGGCACAGATCCGGCACACGTACGAGTCGATCTGCAGGGCAGGGGGGCGTCAGGGGGCACTAAGCCTAGCGCCCCGGGGGGCACCAGCTCCCACCTGCCGCGGGGAAGGCACAGGCTGGCTCAGGGGGGCGCGTTCAGGGTCACGGATGCAGAGACGCAGCCAGCTCAGAGGTTTGGGGGGCCCGGTCAGCTCGGGGGCCCCCGCCTGCTCAGGAGGTCGGGGTGCAGCCCAGTCAGGTCAGGGGTCCCAGGCCGGAGTCCCAGCCAGTTTGGGGGGTCCTGATCCAGGGGCCCAGCTAGTTCAGGAGGGAAGTGGGGCCCAGTCATCTCGGGGGGTCCCAGCCCAGGGGCCCGGCCAGTTCAGATGGTCCCGGTCCAGGGTCCCGCCTCAGGGGCCTGGCCAGCTCGGGGGGTCCCGCCCCCCCACTTACGAACTGCGTGTTGCCGTGGCTGCGGCGCAGGCGCATGGTCATCTTGGTGCAGGGCTCCGGGCTGTGCCGCAGCTCCTCCTTCACCTCCAGGAAGGGGCGGGGCGACGCCGGCTCCGGCCGGGGATCCACCCCGGGGGGCTCCTCCTTCACCACCACCGTGGGGGGGCACTCGGGACCCTCCTTGTCTGGGGGGAAGGAGAGGAGTCAGCACGGGCCGGGCCCCCACCCCTCGCCGCCAGGCCGGGCCCCCCCTCACCTTTCTTCCGCAGGGTCTTGTCCTTGGCCACCAGCCCCAGGCCCAGCATCTTGGGGCCGGCGCCGTAGATCTGCAGCTTCTTCAGCTCCGGGTTCTTCTCGATGTCCTCTTCCGTGGGCTCCGGCTGCAGGGGCGGGGCAGAGTCAGCAGGGGCGGGGCTCCAGCTCCCCCACTCCCAACCCCCCCAGGGGAACCGGCAGCGGGGGGGGGGGGGGGGGGGGGGGGGGGGGGGGGGCCGGCCCGGAGGGCGCGGGGCGGGGGCGGGGCCGGGTGGGGGGTGCATTCCCGGGGGGGGGGGGGGGGCACAGAGAGAGTGAGGCAGGGGGTCTGGACAGACGCCAGGAACTGTCCCCAGGCCACGGGCGCTTGCTCAGCTACCAGAGGCGAGGGGCTGGGGGGGGCACTGAGGGGTCACCCCAGATTTGCAGCCAGGATGGACAAACCCCCCCCCAGCTGCTGGCAAACAGGTACAAAGAGAAGCGGAGCAGGGAGCCAGGACTCTTGGGTTCTCTGGGGGGGAGTGGGGCCTACTGGTTAGAGGGGGGAGGGGCAACCTGGGAGCCAGGACGCCTGGGTTCTCCCCCTGGCTCTAGGAGGGGAGTGGGATGTAGTGGTTAGAGCTTGTGGGCCTGGGAGCCAGGACGCCTGGGTTCTCTCCTGGCTCTGGGAGAGGAGTGGGGCGAGTGGGTCATAATACCACCTGCAAGTTTACAGGCACCAGGAGAACCCAGGAGTCCTAGCCCCCCACCCCGCTCTAACAACTGGACCCCACTGCCCTGCCAGAGAACCCAGGCGTCCTGGCTCCTCCCCCAGACCTGCGAGGGCCGGGGGGCCGGGGCACTCACCTCCTGCTGCAGCCGCTTGGCCCGGCGCCCGTAGCTGTTGAACTTGGAGGGTTGCACGGACTGGCGCAGGGGGATGCTGTGGGGCTTGTACTCCTTGTCCTTCTCCTCGCTGTCGAAGGGCCGGGCGTCACACTGCTGGGGAGACACGGGGGTTAGCACCCCAACGGCCCCCCAGCCCCAGGGGGGACGGTGGCACCAGGCGCTGGCACGGCCAGGGCGATTTCCTTGGGGCCTGGCACCACAGAGCCTGGCACAGATCCCCTCCCAGAGCTGGGAGAGAACCCAGGCGTCCTGGCTCCCAACCGCCCCCCCTCTCCCCCTCGCTAACCACTAGCCCCCACTTCCCTCCCAGACCTGGGAGAGGACCCAGGCGTCCTGGCTCCCAGCCACTCTCCCTCCACCTCGCTAACCACTAGACCCCACTCCCCTCCCAGAAGAGAGAGAACCCAGGCGCCCTGCCCACCCCCGCCAATAGGCCAGCCCCAGCCCCCCTCACCACCAGGTTGGCCCCCGACTGGTACATCTCGTAGGGGTAGATGATGCGTTCGTAGTGGGAGCGCAGCAGGGAGCCGATGTTCTTGCCGGAGGGGTAGGCGAGACGCTGGGCCACGCGAGCCCACCGCCGGTCCCTGCAGATGGCCTCGTAGCCCCCCTCCTCCAGCACCACCTGGGGGGAGAGAGCCCTGAGCCGCTGGCCCCCTCCCCCGCCCCCCGGACCCCCCCCGGTGCTGCCGGCCCCCTCCCTCGACTGCGACCCAGCCTCTGACCTGCAGCTCTGCCAGCATCCCAGGCCGACATGCAGACCCCAGCCCCGGGGCTGCTGGCACCTCTGGCCCCCAAGCCGCACCTTCCCCGGCACTGCCGGCACCCCTCCCCTGACCCACGGTGCTGCCAGTGCCCCCAGCCGGTGGACAACCCCCGGCACCCCTCCCCTGACCCACGGCACTGCCAGCGCCCCCAGCCCGTGGACACCCCCTGGCACTGCCGGCACCCTTCCCCTGACCCACGGTGCTGCCAGCGCCCCCAGCCCATGGACACCCCCCGGCGCTGCCGGCCCCCCTGCCCCAACCCGCAGCCACACACACCCCCGGCGCTGCCGGCCCCCCCAGCGCCCGCCCTACCTTGCTCAGGCTGTAGAGGTCGAGGATGCGCCGCTCCACGTTGGGGATCTTGAGCGAGGAGCCCTGGATCTCCCAGAACTTCGCAATCTGGTCTAAGTAGTTCAGCTTCACCCGCGTCTGCGCCTGGGGGCAGGGAGGGGAGGGGAGCAGTTCGCCTGGGTGTCGCCTCTCCAGCCCACGCTGCCACTCTCTAGCCCGGCCCAGCCCCCCCACAAGGACGGGGAGCCGGGAAACAGCACTGACATCGCGGGGGGCCTTTCAGGCCAAGAGCTAATGCGTCAGAGTACCACCTGGCGCGGAGATGCAGCCACCTCTGGGGCGGGTCAGTTGGGAACGGCCACACATAACACCACGCAGGGACAGCAGGGGAACAGCCACCCGGCAACCACCATGGGCACTGCCTCCCAGCTCACCTCCAATTCGTTAAGCCTCTGGATGCGTGGGGTGAACCTGAAGTTATCCACTTCCACAGCGAAGGGGGGCTGCCAGTCCTGGGGAGAGACGGGAAAAGGAGGGGGCTTAGTACGAAAGGCTGCTGGAGCAGACGACGCTGCCTTCGGACCCCCCAAGCTTCTTCCCAAGCACCGTCCGCAGGGGCAGCCCTCTGCCAACGGGTATCGCCTGATCGAACATGCCTAGCCATGCTCGGGCGCTCAGCGCCCCGGGGACGCTGGGCTGCAGGCCCCCATGGAGGGGATCGGGGCTAACACAGAGCAGGGTCCGTCCCCTCCAGTGGGGGGCAGGAGGGTGTCTGTTGCCAGGACCACCTCGCGCCTCCACGCCGGCAGGGAGGGGAGCTAAGGGAGGGCGGATGGCTGAGAGCAGACTGGACACCTCTCCCATCCCAGCCCGCTGGTGCCAGAGGGCACCTGCCCCGACCCCAGGGTTAGCACCCCTAAGGCCAGGCAAAGCTTTATCCAAAAATATCTGCATTTCCCCCGGCATGGGAATGCAGCTCCCTCTAGGGCAGGGACCAGGCAGCTGGGAACAGCCGCACATAACACTGCACAGGGACAGCTTGCCCGGCACGGAGATGCAGCCACCTCTTGGGCGGGGTGGCTGGGAACAGCCGCACAGAACACTGCACAGGGACAGGAGATGCAGCCACCTCTGGGGTAAACATATCAGTTTATAACCCTAAAATCTCTCTCCTGGCACCTGAGATCTAAGACCAAGGCTGCCCGGGTCTGCGACCAGCAGGAGCCATTCCTGGCACTCCAGTGGCCAAATCAAGCATCTTTCGGGGGGCAGGGGAGGGGACGGCAGCCAATGGTGTCAGGAGCGTTCACTAGCCCAGCCGGGCAATCGCTCCCCTCACCCCCATTTCTGAAAGGGGGGGACCCCAGCCTCTGGATCGGATGTGCAACCCAGGCAGGCAGGCGAAACCGACGCAGGCCACTGAAACTGACGCAGGCCGAATTCAAACCTATCCTTCCAATGCCCTGCACCGACCGGATCTAACCAAGACAGGGCCAGGGAGGGATGGGACAAGTGAGCTGCCCCAAAGATCCTCCCCAGGGAAGCCCCCCACTTTTGGATCTGCCCCCCCAAACCCCAGATCCCCTCCCCCAACCCAGCGAGCCCACTTGCCGGGCTGTCTGGGAGGAGAAGAGGCCAGGCCGGAGCCATCACAATAGCCCAGCTGGGAGGATGGAAGAGGAAGCCACAAAAGAAACAAGGGGGGGAGGGAGATGGGGGTTGAGGGAGGGGGCTTGTGGGTCCCATGTTGGGGGGTTGCTCCCCAGATCTCCGGGGCAGGACCTCTCTAGCTGTCAGGCCCCCACACACACTGTTTACCAGACAAAGGCTGGAGCGTGGCAGCCATATTGAACGTGTCACTGATATTAGGCATGGGGGGGGG